AGCACACTCCCCAAGATAGTGTGCCAACCGATTCAGCCATTTCTCCCCATGGTTCTCTTTCAACTGCCGCACCAATCGAGCTGGACTGTTGCCCAGTGTCCGGTCCCGAAGCAGCCTAATGACACGGATGTCACAGGCATACCTGAAATGCACATTGTTGCTGTGATCAGTTACATGTTCATTAGGGGGGTCATTTCAGTGGTTTAAGTCTTCACAATAACCATCTTTAGACTACTTTACTCACTTGCGGGTCAGGATCAGCCGGAACATTTTCTGGTGCGGCAGGTCAAGCTGGTCTCGGACAGTCTGACTTGTAGACAGATAGTTCAGAGAACACACAGTGCACCTGAGTGTCTCTGTCGATGTCCAGGACCTTCCGAGCTCTTTTGTGGACACCATAGCCTGTCAGGTTTTTGCCACAAGCTGGACAGAAAACCCTCTCCTTCCACAGGTGGTAGGGCATCCACACCATCAACCGATGGGTGAAGAACTGGTCAGGTGTAGGTGTCTGGTGGTAAATGAGAGCTGGGACAGGCGGCTCGTACCACAGCTTCAAATCTGGCCGCAGCTTGCCAGCGTGAAAAATAGTGCTGGCAATCCTCCTCTGGTCCTGCACAGGGATGGTCTTGGGCCATTCACCTGGCAGCCAGAAAGAAGCTGAGGCCCCAGCAGGGGCTGGCTGGACTCCTCCAGGCTCCTCCTGTATGGAAGACAATTTGTTATTGTGTTAAAGGCTGCACTAATATACAGCATAGCCTGTCCAATAAATAGGTGCTGCTGCACTCACAGAGGATGGAGATGGGCTGGGGGTCATCACAAAGGATGGAGGGGGAGAGGGGCTGGGAGGAGAAGGCCTAGCGGTTCCTTCAGAGGATGGAGGAGATGGACTGGGGGTCTTCACAGAAGACAGAGGAGGGGTGGAGGTCCTCACAGAGGATAGAGGGGTGGCGGCAGTCCTCACAGAGGCCATAGATGGAGTCCTCACAGAGGAAGGAGGAGAGGGGCTGGGAAGAGAAGGAGAGGATGCAGAGGGTGGAGCAGAGGGGCTGGGGGTCCTCCGATCCACTAAGTTGGGTTATAGCGAAGTCGACTTGGACCCGCCAAAGCGTGACTTAGTGAACTAAAAAGAGAAACAAAGTTAATTGTATGATTGAAGTTACATAGAGCATTTTCATTTCATAATTATTATTTTTTTTTAACCTAAACATAAACATAAATCTGTCCTATCAAACAAATACAAAATGATTCTAAGTAGGCATTAATTAAAGAGAAAATATTCACCATAGACAAACTTAGAGGGGGCCTCAGGAATGAGGGTGGGGCAGAAGCAGCCATTTCAGGAGCTGTAGCAGGAGGTGCAGCAGAAGAGTGAGTGGCAGTGGCAGTGGCAGTGGCAGACTGCTAATACAACCACCGAAGGGCATAAAATATAGTGAAATGGCATAACAGCATTTTACCAGACATGTGATGCTACATCAAATGTCATTTTCAAATTGATTACCTTATTGGTGTGGAATCCACAATTGCAGGCCATGTAGCCTCCAAAGAGGGTGGTCTGCCCACGTGCCTGCATGGGGCATTTCTCAATCTGAAGAAATGTGCCTGTTGGTCGAGGTAAAGATCCAAGAAGAGGCACAGCGACGCGAGTTCGCGGCCCGCTCCGACCAGTGATGGAATTCCTGGAATGTGTCCGTTTTGACGCTGCTGGTGCACGCGTGTCATCATCATTGTCCCCCGCATTTTAATCAAATGTAAATTCGTCCCCCGTACTTTAATTTGGGCACTCTCCAACGTAAACACTCTCACGTTATGTACGTTTCGTTCATACCGGACGCCGGAGGGTGCTCTCTCGCAGAAAGTCCAAAACGGACTCGTAGAAGTACTAACTTGTGACGCACGCTACCGGAAATACCTTATATGGACAAAGGCATCCAGATGTCACTGGATGAAAAAAGCTGAAATGTTTTGACTGATAAAACGTGAATACTGTAGTCATTGCAACAATACACGATTTGTGTTTTTCAAGTCATCGTCTTGGTGCATTTTCATAACAAAATATATGAATAACGCAGTGCTAACTGACACCTTTTTTTACAGTATAAAACATTATATTTTCTGCCTTATTCTGAATGTCCCTGTTTTTATTGTGTGTTTTACAGTTATGTAAAGTCAATAAAAAAATTTAGAACAGCAGTGCAATTTTGACTCATCAACCTAAAAAAGAAGTGCTAATTGACAGCCTTCTTTACAGTATAGAAATTATATAATATATTTTCTGCCTTATTTTGACTGTCCCTGTTTTTATTTTGTGATTTACAGTTATGTAATACTGGAAGACTTATACTGGTACTGGTAAACACACAGAGTTATTATAAATTTTAGAGACAGCTGTCATTGTTGGAGACTTGTAAATTGCTCTATAAAGCAAACATTAACCAAATAAATAAAAATAACGTGCTGAAAGAGCAATTTTAAGAAGCTGGAGGGTTTCCATTTCCTGTTTTTTTTCCCTATAACCTCGTTCCTTCAGCACAGCCCTCCATTCATCATATGATTGAGTCTCAGACTCTTTGCAGAACCAGTTGCCAAAGTACTGAAGATGTGATGGTGGCTTTCTCTCTTTGTTACACTTTCTGCAAAGAATGACATCTGTCTTCTTCACATATTTTCTTGTGATAGTTCCAGTGCGCTCCCTCTCCAGTTTTCTCTTTCTGTATTGCTGAGTGGAGTAAGGAACATCTTGACTGGATGTCTGTGTCTGAGCTGATGGTGGCATAGCTGAAGGTAATGGGAGGTTGAAGAACATCACCTGTGAGGTACCAGGCACTGTAGAGGACGGCGCGCAAGCGCCTAACACTGTAGGAAGCTGCACAGATGGTAAAATGAAAGGGCGAGAGAAGGGTAGTGCTGGTGCAATGACAGGAAGTCCTTGATGTGATGGTGGAGCTTGGGAGATGGCCTGAGGTTGCGACCTCCCCTTGAGTTTTGCCTCCCCAGCAGTGTTTGGTGGCAGGATAAAAAGGTGAGGCTCAGCCAAATTGCCTGGATAGAGAGTTGGTCCTTTCTGCATAGCCACAGGAAGCTTCTCAGGTCCTGCTATGGGTGCATCTGGGGCTTGGATACCCTGCTTCAAAATCTCCTGTTCCTGTGACTTGCCACGCCTGCTGAACCTGGGAAACATAAAACAACCAATATTAATAAACATTTAAGCAATAATACAAAAGATGGTGTGATCAACTACTATTTGATCATGACTATGACGCAGCAGCATGACACAGCTCACAGATGACATAGCAGTCGTCTAATGTATTACTGCTTTTGTGTAATGGCTACTTCATTGAGATTAACATTGTATTATGGATTATGGATACTTGCAGTCTGTTGAAGACAGCTGATCCATGTCATAAATCTTATTTTTCATAATGAAGAAGAAAACAGAAGTTGAACTCTTGTTGATTTGTTTCTAGACCCGTCAAAGCAGCCACAGTTAAATTAAGGCTGATGATACACGGGGCAAATTTTTGAGCAATTTTGTTGGGCAACTTTTTTTGAAAAATGTTTCTTGGGCACTTTCCCACTGAGAATGGGTAACAAATTTCAATCTGGATACTTCAGATCAATCGTGCGCCCTGTGTCTCACCTGGTTGCCTGTTGACGGCAATATTAACCAAAGTTGCCCGGCAGCATTGATCAAAAAATTGCCCCATGTAACATCAGCCTAAGTCAATCGCGTCAATTACTTGGACCCTCTGTGTAGCCCTTAGCTGCTTTAAGTTTAGGCTTAGCGGTAACAATGCTAATTTACTCACCATTGTGTGACTGTTGCTGCGTTCACTTCTGGGAGCTGGATGGTGGTCTCGCTCATCACCTTAGCATTGGTGAGGATGCACTCTCGGATGTGCTTGTAATCACGTGCTACCATAGTGAAGCGGGACACCCTCACTCCGTCACAGCGCACCGCGTTTGGGTAGAGAGCACAGAGCCTTGTGAAGATGGCCTCCACCACTCGGTTACAGTCGGGCCACTGTGCAGGACTATGAGCCCCAACGAAACACCTGCAAATTACAACAGAATACATATTATTAATGTAAGATTGTTTTCATTGTGTGATCTTATTTTTATTTTCCCTTTCCTATTCTGTCTGTTTTGCTTTGTGTTGTCTAGATGTTAATTTATAATATCTATGCATAGTTATGTTGTCTTTCTTTGTTTTCTAGGTCGATGTTGAAATGTCATATCAATAAATTAGGTCTCTACTGGGTTACTGTGTTGTGGAATTATTACAGGTTGATACGGTGTCGTTAGTCAGCCTGTCGGGGTTTTTTCACAATAATGACTGCACATTATCCCGCTTATTACACGGCTACTTACTAAAGTACAGTAAAAGACAAATTATTTGACTCAACATATTGATACAAAATGATTTTACTGATTAAGAAATTATTGCCTTGCTTCTGATAAATAAAATATTCCAATGTACGGTTGGAACTGTGTCCATAGCAATGTAACTTACTTAGCAACCTAACATATAGTCAGCATTAAATGTAAATCACAACTAATAATTTATGTTATAACCAGGCTAAGTTTGAACTTAACAGGCTGCAGGAAGATAAGCTAGTCATGAAGGCATCAGGTTTTACTCATTTTACTAGAAATCCTTTTTTTTTTAATTTACTAAAACAAATAAAGCTGTAGGTGATATTTCAGCCAGTTTCAGTTATGTATATTTTATACAAAACTTTTTAGACCCTGTGTTTACTAAACGTAACATACCTTTTGGTGCTCTCCACACCTGGGGCCACAATCTTCTTAGTGGCCCTGAACCGTCCCTGTTTTAGGGTGGTTTGGTGACGTGGTGGGTAAATGGTCTTCTTCTTGTCATACTCCCCCAATGCCTGCCATAGAGTGATGATCTTGAAGCACTCTTCTACAGTCAAGGCCAGACGGTGATCTCTGAGGCTAACCAAAAACTCTGCCAAGTCCTGCACAGCTCCATACCCCTAAATATTATCAGGTCCAACAGAATCCTAAAATGAAAGATAATTTAGGAACTTTTGATAGCAGCAATGAATACAAATATTCACATGAAAGCACAGCCAACATAACCCAGATTTTGTTTACACACATGTAAATGTACATAAAAAAGAAACTGGGCCCTTACATCATGAGAAGTGTTCTCTTCCGATGTTGGAAGATCCGTTTCTGCAGATAATCGGTCCACTGGGACTACATCACAAAGGTAAATATTTATTTTAAATTTGTATTTATGTCTTTCAATGTGATAAATAAACATTTAGAGTTAGTGTGACAACAAATACCGAAACCTTTATGAATACTTTGGTAAAACTCACAGCTATGTGCTCCAGGAGAGAGTGCTGGCTTTGATTGAGTGTGCGGTGAGCTGGTGACAGGAGATGTCACTGGTGATGGAGGGAGCACAGACAGTGATGACGTGGAGCTGGTGACAGGAGATGTCACTGGTGATGGAGGGACCACAGACAGTGATGACGTGGGGCTGGTTGCTGGAGGGGTTGGAGATGATGCTGCAGACGCTGCAGACACTGATGCTTGTGAAGAGGCGGCAGGTGTCCGTTCAGTGTCAAAGGTGGGAACAGTGATGTCCTGAAACTCCTCAAGTTCAGCATAACCTTCATCCACCTCTATACCAACTTCAGTGGTCTCTGACTCTTCAATGGCCAACTTGTAGTCCTGCAGAACTTTACCAGTTTGCTGGTAAAGATATTCCACTCCAATAAGCTCACCTTTAAAATAGTAAAACAATGACAATTAGATAATATACCATGATATTATATTATAACTCAGTGGTTAAATGGTGTTTATACTTGAATGAAATTGTCACCAAAAACAAAAAAATAGTTATCTACCAGTGTACTTTCTTGGCCCAACATAAGGGATGATTTTCATGCCCATAAGCTCCTCTGCAAGAGTATTGACAGCATGACGCAGAAGATGATTGTAGGAATGTGGCTGCTGCTCATCAGTTGTTGCTGCCACAGCCCAGTCATCATTCCACCTTGCAAGTCCATCCAAAAGATACGCCTGAAAGAAGGTGTCACTTGCCAGCGTGCCTGTAAATAAAAAAAAAAATAAAAAATACCGCACTAAAATTTAATATAAATACACAAATAGCTGTTCTTGCAATTCTCATAATTATTTCAATATAAATCAAATCTTATTTTAATAATTCAGTTAAATCATTTATTAACCTGGGATGAATCTGTTAAGGTGCAGGTGAAATGACTCAAGCGAAGTGGAACCTCTGGCACAGCGGTAGGTTGGCAGGCGGTGCCCTCCCTTCAATAAGGTACCCGTCTGCATGTAGAGCTGCACACCGACAGGATCCTGAATGCAGGCCACGTGCTTCCGCTGGAACTTTAAAATCTCTCTCATCCGGGCTGAGTTTATTAGTGGGACTCCCAGAGTGTCACGATCAGCATCTCCATCAAAGGCCTGAATATGGCTCTCAATCAGCGCCAGGGTCTCTTTGGTCCCGCGAGTGGTTCTCCTGCAATGTAGTGCTAGCTCGCTACGACAGATACAGCGCAGCACATCAGCCTCGGATGATGGTTTCCCGTCAGCTTCTAGCTCTGCATGCTTCGCCGTCTTCAGGGCCGTCAGGTCGACCTGGTCCCACATGAAAATACAGTGGCTGAGGCCACTCATAAATGTGGCATACAACTGGTGAGAGTCGGTGGTGCAACCCACAGCAAACCTCCGCATGAAGTGCCATACATCTAACCGGATGGTTATTTGCTCCCACTCTTCAAACATCCTCCTCAAAAGAATGTTGCCACAGCAGTCTCGGTCGACATACAGTACTTCGGGAGGAGCCACCCCGGCCACCCTGTATCGCTTGATAAGGCCTTCAATCATTGGCCCGAGACCAAAACCTTCGCTGGCTATGAGCACGGACATGATCACCTGTCCATGCTCATTGCCAACATTAGTTGCCCAAGTAGCAGTGCCATAGCTGCGTCCTGCTAGTTTTCTGGCCACTTTTTTAGTAGAATCCATTTTTAAGATCCGACCATATTGTGATGTGATAGTGGCCTTCATCTCATCCAGCCTTTGCAGGACATCCTGGGCATACACCTGCATCAGCCATCGGTGCCTAGGGACAGAAGGCATTGAAGGAGCAGGTTCAAATGTCACAGGCAGGATCAGGTTCGACATGACAGCACTGGCAATTCCCTTGCAATCTGTCAGATACTGGACTGTCTTTTGCAACCAGACATCAGCATGACGCTCCTGCAGCTTGCGCTGGATCGGGCTGCTGCTGTTTCCCAGCCCTCGCTGATGCATCAAAGTTACTACCTCGAGGTCACATGCAAGTTTTGATGTAAGAATGCAAGGGAACTGCACCCTGTGGCCAATGTCGAGCTGGGAGACGAGATCATGGCTCCAGCTGATGACCTTCCTCTTACATCTTCGGCAGGCCAGGTACTCAGATGCCACAAAGTACATCTCACCTATGGCAACCACCTGCCTGATCTTTTGATGCAAGCCAGCTGAGGTCAAAGAAAAACAGAAAATAAACACATAAACAAACAAATGCAAATTCACATTGCTTCACTTTGCTTTATTATCCCTGGAAAGGAAACTTTGAATACTTTAAATAAGTATAAACGTACATGCCACATATGCCTCCTCAAACTTAGCTGCCTCTGCCAGCAGTGTGCTGTCATCTATCTCAGTGGACACAGAGGGGTGGGTGAGGGTGGCTGAGGGCCCTGTGGCTGCCTCAATGGGCACAGTCGGACAGGTGAGGGTGGCTGAAGGCCCTGTGGCTGTCTCAATGGACACAGTCGGGGGGGTGAGGGTGGCTGAGGGCCACGCATGTGCCTGGGCCAAAGCTACAAAAAACACAGGACAAACAGATAAACATGACTACTGAACAGCAATAAATACTAAACAAACCAAAAAAGTGTTATACAAATAAATGTTTGCTTACAAGGTGCGACTTTGAGGGGGGAAACCAGCCTTTCTACAGTCTTGGTCAGGTTTTTCTGGTTAGGCAACTTCCTAACCAAGAGGGAGCGGAGAGAGGCAGTGGAAGTATGGGTGGTGGTAGCGTGCTGGGTGGGGGCGGTGAACTCTGTGTGGGCAGCGTGCTGGGAGTCAGTAGCATGCTGGGAACTTTCCCAGCATATTGCTCTTCCTTCATGGCAATGGCAATTCTGCCAGAAGGAAAGAGCTCAATATACTCCCTGAAACTCCCCTTGTTGTGGGCATGTTCTTGGGAGTCTTTGCTGCCTCCTGTGGGGTCCCTCTTCATAGCTACCACCAGGTAAGCAGCATACCCCAAGGCATTTTCAGCCACCCACCTAAATGTTTGCCCGCGAAATACACCAAACTGGATTTCAAAGACACCCAACAGCTGCTTTCTGTTAGACAGATCTCCGTGGTGCTGACTTAAGCTTTTCTTGGCTTTGTCCAGCACTTTCTCCGGGGACAGGGGTCTTGTGTATGGCTTTCCTTTGTTGCCTTCCTTCACCTTTGGCGCTTCCACTGTATCAGTCAGATTCAGGCTGCCATCAGCCCGTCTCCTGAAGCGAGGTTCCATCTAAATTAAAAACATGAAGACATAAAGACTATAGAGAAACAGACAAACACATTTGGTAACACATTAGTTAATGCAGCGGTTTATATTCTATTACTATATTTACTAATGATTACCTCATGATTTACTCATGATTACCTTGTAATGTTGATTTTATATTTGTCAGACTCTGTTCCGTGTTTTGTGGTTGTTTTCCTCATGTAGTAGCAGATCGTGACAGAATACCGGACCAAAAAGTAAGCAGCACCCCCTCTCACCGTTTTGATTTCTGTTTTTTGAAAGTTTTTGCTTTGTTGTTTTTCCCGTGCGTTCCTCCACGTCCCCAAATGGAGGAACGATTAATGATGAGACAGATGATTTTGAAAACAATTTTTTATTCTTTGTAATCTCCTTTTGAAGAAATTTCTCTTCCATTCACTGAACCTCCCCTGAAAGAACGGGGCAAAAGGGACTGCTATGGGTGGGGGAAAAGAAAAAATGAGAAAAAAAACAAGGGGGAAAGGGGAAATGAGGAAAAAAATAAAGGGAAAGTGCAAAAAATAAGGGAAAAAAAGGGGACAATTAATTGAAACAAACTGAATTGAAAGACTATTTTTTTTAACAGTTTTTCACCTTTTCTCTTATTTTAACTAACAAATTACAGAAAAGC